AAAGGTCGGGAGGGCCTTCGGACGCCTGCCACTGGAGGTAGCTCGAACAAAAGACGGCATTCCTGGCATTCACACGTGTTCAAACAGTCAATGTATTTTTGATATCCCTTTCGACAAATTAAAAACCAAAAAGTAAAGTAAAGGCAGAACGCATCAGACATTAGCTGGGGAGACTGGTCAGGAAGAGATCCCAAAGTGGGCACAAAAGAACTCAACTGTAATGCCAAGGACAAAGAAAGACTCAACTTTTTTCATTTCAAGACAAACAAGGTTTTTTCTTTCAGACCTGACTTGGTCTTTATGACATTCTTCCAAGCCAAAGAAACAAGGGAAAAAAACCCATAAAAGGGATGAGCACAAACCGGTATTTGTAAGGTCTTGGGATCCACTGGCTGCTGGAAGGGTAGAGACTCTGGATTCTGACGATACAGTTTCTCCAGGGTAGGCATCAAGGCTTGCCGAAGTTCGTCAGGCTTGAAAACTGTTCCAAAAAACAAGAGACAATAAGTAAAAGATTGGTCGGTGTCTTTGCCATTGCCATTACTTAAAACACATCAACAGGTTAAAATCTTGGTGGTATATGAGTTTTGATCTGTGAAAATCCTTCACACATTGCCTCATCACATTAGTAGACAATGGAAAAATAGTTGTTGAGATTTTTTTGTATAACTTAATTGTTTTTTTATCAACATATCAATTATTCTTTAAGTATTTTATACGTATCACATTGCTTTATATGTAAACAGTTGCAACCTTCCATTCACTTTTTTTGTGCAAATTCAGTAAAATATTGGAACTTTAAAGATCGACTGTGAGGGCGCATGTCCAGTTACAGACATCCTAGAATCGGGAAAAAGATGTTCTGACAACAGCACAGGGTCTTCCTTGATTGTTTGTTTATAGCATGAAAATGACAAATTTCACCATATGAAGGGTTTTCCCAGATATCACATGTTAATTATATATTTAACGTTTTTTGCCCTTACCCAACGTATATTAATAAGCACTGTATGCTCAGTGCTTGTCCGAGAGCTTGCGAAAACCTCACAAGCTTAGGTAGGACTCGAACCCAAGACTGCTTACTAGTGCAGATGTTTTAACCACTCGACTACCGAGCTTGCCGGGGTCGGCTGGCCGGTCCGAGTCAAATGAAGAAGCGGGTACCGCGAACTATTTTCAAGATTTTTTTTTTTTTTTAAATACATCTTGAAAATAGTAAGCTTGTGAGGTTTTTTTTTCGCAAGCTCTTGGACAAGCACTGAGCATACAGTGCTTATTAATATACGTTGGGTAAGGGCAAAAACCGTTATATATATAATTAACATCTCCCCAACGCGGAAAAAAAAAAAATTACATCTTGAAAATATCACGTTGATAAAAAATGTTTTTTCAAGGTTGAATCCTGTCAGTGAGACATCATTTTTATCTTATACCAAAAAAAGGGTACTTAAATGGTCATTTGATTGACATAATGTAATTCCCCTTTCAGAGTGATCCACTACGACACCATCACTAGAGTGTCACTATACTCACGTGGGTGCTCTTCAATTTGACACACGCACATATTTTGTCAAGTCACAATACCCCACTGGTTGGAGACGAATTTAATGCGCATACTGTAGATTTTGTGTGCACAACAGTGGAGCCAGCACAGTAATGGTTTCTCATTCTGGCTGCTGGACACTTCACAATCCACTAGGATTTTGTAGAAACGAGCAATACAGAGCCTAGCTACAACTGCTAAGGACTTGATACACCTTAAAACTTGACGTGAACATAACCTTGTCCATGTTGTCAGTGAGAAGAACTCCTGACCACATATCCAGCTTACCTTTCTTGGACCTTGGAGCCTTAGTAGGTTCAGTCTTGACGGGTGGCTTCTGCTGTACGTCACTACTGGCAGACTGGCCAGGCTCTGCTTTCACTGACACTTCCTTGGTCTCGCCAGCCTCCTGCTTGACCACACCCTGCCCGTTACCGCCCTTCCCCACACCGCCAGTGCCTTTTCCACCCCCCTTGCCACTGCCGACGCCGTCCGGCTGGGAGGCGTTGCCAAACCCGCAGGTGTAGGGGTTGCCGTCCACGGGCTCCTGCTTGACCCCCGGCTCCAGACTGGCCGGAGCAGGGGTCTGCTTGCCACCCTTGGGTGTCAGAGCAGGCTCCTGCTTGGGCTGGGGCGTAGCTGCAGGTGTGGTGGTTTCGGAGGCTGGCTGGGCTGTCTGCTCGATGGAAGGGGGCTGCTTGCCAAGACTGCCAGACTGCACCTGCTTGGAATCAAACATCACATATCCAATAACATATTTTTGAACTTAAAACTTTCCTTTAGACAACTGTCACAACTTAGGCATTCTTACTTGGAAACACGGGTCCTGAAAAACATCCAAATGGCAGAAAATCAGTTCTACAGTTTTGAAGAAGAATAAGGGAAGTAAAGTATTCTGTAGAGCAACTGAAGATTGGCTGAATAGCTCTAATAAGTGTTCGTTATAACATGAACATATTGGATGTCAGGATGTGAACATAAGGGAATCCAGTAATGTACTTGACAATACTCTTCCAGGTAGTTAATAGATACACATCTACAATCCTCACCTGTTGATTTGTCTCAGCCAGTGTGGTTTCAGTTGTGGTGTTGTTGGTCAAAGCATTGGACGGTGGTATTATGCCCACTGATTGCGTTGGAGGAGTAGCATTGGCAATAATCCCCTGCAGAACAAAAGCAAACTAACATTTAACACTGCAGGAAACGTGGTTGTACTAAAACAGGGCCACTCACTTTTTTTGTTTCATTTTACATGCAGCAAGAAGCATGACAACGTCTTGGACAAAAAAAATGGGATTACTTAGAAAAAAACCCACTCTCGGACGGATCTCGACTTTCACCTACAGGCAACATTTAGACTGAAAAAAAAAAAAGAATTGAAAGTGACCTTCCAAACCCATCACATACCTGTTTGCTTACTTGATTGGCCTGTGATTGTGGTGTTGCTGGCACCGATGGTGGCTGCTGCTGTTGTTGCTGCTGGGACTGCGGCGTCAGACCCTGTATGCCAACGCTGGGCAGGGGCTGCTTGCTGCTGTTATTAGTAACGCTGCTGGTCAGCGGAGGGAATTGAGCAAAAGGATTCTGGTTGACCTGGGCGTTGAGCTGGCCAGCTGGGGCAATGCTGGTGGGCGGGGTCATCATCTGGGGGACTGAGGCTGGGCCGCCGGAAGGAGGTGCTGGGGTAGCAGGGGCAATGCTTAATGGACCATCTGTAAAAAATGACACAGGAAAGAAAAGTTCAGCTCACTAGACAAACCAAGTATATAATGAGTCCCACTGTTTTCTCCTTCAACAAGGAAACAACACATAATGTATGAGTCTTGATCTCAGAGAGCTACATACTCTGAGTGGGCATCCTGGGCTGAGGCAGTTGTTGGAGAGGCTGCAGCTGGGACAGCTGTGCTGCCGCTGCAGCTGCCGTCGTGGGGATGCCTCCAGCAGCAGTATTAGTGCCTCCCGTCTCCTGCATCCTCTTCTGTCGCTTCTCCTCTAGCTCCTTCTGGATCTTGTAGATCTTTTCAGCCAAGAGGTGATAGTACTCCTCCTGCGACAAGAACATCCAAACAAAAAACAAAAAATGAACTTTTTCAATATGAAGTGAAAGGAAAGGGCAACGATGAACATTTTTTCAGATGATTTTTTATCAGTGGTGCAAGCTCATGGTGCATCTAGAGAACCTGATCACTTACCCTACTGCTGGCTTGCTCGTACATGTCCTTTTCTACTTTGCGGGCATAGGCTACCAGGTTTCCCATTCGCTTGTCTTTCATGGCCTGGGGGTCTGGTGATGGAAATATTGCTTGAACTCTGGAAGGAAGAGAAATTAACATTCTCAACTGATAATATCGCACAGTTTTCAGAAATCCCGAGCAACATCGCAAACCTAAGTTAAATGCAAATTTTTGACAATTTCTGGTTACAAAAAAACTAAAAGAAGGTTCCCAAATCAAATTGATGCACGTTTGCAATTTCAATAACCGTGCTTATGAAGGTGGCAGAATCAAGGTTTTTACTTACAATTTAAAGACAAGGTGATTGCGCAAATCCTGGGTGACAAACTGCTGCCAAGGCTGTGTGTTGCCAGTAATGGGCATGGCGATACCCATGCTAGCGTTGCTTCCACTGTTGCTACCAGGCGCAAAGGACTGCAGCATGGCATCTGTCTGCTGCTGGGTACTGGCGGTGGTCAGGGGACCAGTGAAAGCACCTGGCACGTTACCAGAGGTATCTTTAAGAGGATGAAAACAGGGAGAACATGTTAATCAAAGAATATCATGAAGCCAAATAATGAGAAGTATAAAACACAAAAGTAACAAGAATATGAACCGTATTCAAAACATTAAACTTGCCACCTTTTTTCAACAGTACACTGGTGGAAACTTGCAACCCTCCAGTAACAAGAAACGTTTAAACGTAAAGACAACTATGAATTTTTTCCTTAAACCAAAATATCAATGCCACAACTGTCAGCAAGTGAATACAGTGGCAGCATATGATTCTAGAGCACAGTCTCAGTGACCGAGACCTCCTCTCCCTTCCTCATGGTGCATAAGTCTCTACTCACTCAAGGGGTTGGGCATTCCCGGTGGCCTGGTCTGATTCTTGGTGTTGTATGGGATGCCCAGGGCCTGGTATGCCCGCTGCATTGAGTTCTGATCAATGGTTGTGCTAATGGCAGTAGAGCCAGGCAGAGGGCCGGTCATGGCACTGTGCAGCAATTTTTCTGCTTGAAGATACAAGAAGCACAAGTGTACAGATTAATTTGGGGCAATCTGCCAACCGACGTAGGTACACAAGTAAATGGGAGTTCCTACGTGTACCTAACAAAGACCAGTCAATCTACAATTTTTCTTCGACTATTCCACAATGAACTACAATGTTACATAATTTGCATTCAGAAAAGATTACCAACAAAATGGTGAGAAGTACAGTGACTTTCTGTTGAGGTTTCAATGCAATTTGCTCTGTTCAGCTCCAGCTTGAAGAGACACAATATGTGTTGTAATTAAAATCTTTAAAATTACCATCAACAGATGTGTTTTTCCCATCTTTTACAGACTACAGATTTCAAAAATTTTGTATGACAGTTACCGTGCCGTCGGTCGGACGCATGCTTGAGCGGCAAGCACACTGGACAGTCGCTACGAGTGCAGTTCTTCCAGTGCGTGATAATCTGCCTTGATGAGGCACAGTGGGCAACTGCGCAGAAACACAACAAGACCAGACATTTCAGAAAGCTGCAAAAACACCCTTCTTTGCTTCTTTGAAAGACAAAGATATTGAGATACTGTGAAGGGCATAATACAGGGGAGCAAAAGTAAGAAGCGTCACAAACCTGTCAACATTCCTTATATTTTTGAACACTCCTTTGAAAGAATATTACATTTACAATTGGAAGAAGAACTATGTCCCAAATATATTTGTATGTCAACTCTCGAGGTGCTGTGTATACACACAGATTAGCGTTGCCATGACAACAACTGAAAATTACAGAGCTTTCTTGAGTTAAACATACAGCACGTATTCATCATTGGGACAGATAGTATTGCCAGTGGAAACGTTCTATTCCTTGTAAGTTTGAAGAAGGCTCCCTGACCACAACTTACCTTGGCAAGACTTTCCCTCTTGGCAATTGGTCATGTGGTTGAGAACGTTCTTCATGGTGCGGCAGTGTGGAAGGACACACTGCTTGTTCTCCCCGTTGGCCTGGTTCTCTCGCCGCTGGCACTTGTGCGCATGCAGGAGGAGCACCAACTGCTGCTGGATCAGCTTGCGTTTGCCAAGGTCAGCGGGTGAGGTTTGGGTTCCACCAGCAGCCCCAGGCTGGGTACCAGCCATGGCCTGCTGAGTTCCTTGAGCGATGCCTCCCTACAGATGAAATGCATCATTCGGAAACATTTCATACTGAAACACGCGGTACCATACAAGCATGGCTAAATCTACATGTGCCACTTATGCAATATTTTGCAAATCGGATATGCATGCACACAAAAATTGCAAACATCGACCATATTTGAATGAATAGACAAATACTCAGACAACTTTTACAAAACAACATTCCCATAGGTAATCCTCCATTTTAAAAGTAGGGGCATTTGATTTCTAATCCTGTTTTGAGATATTTGATGAAACAGAATGAACACAAACGGAAAATATTGTTAAGTTGGTTGCATGGAATCCTCTAAATGTGTTGAATGACACAGAAATCAATTAACAAATTTATGCATTTTTCTGAATGTTTTCTAAACTAGCCACATATATTACTAGTTACAGCACAAGTTTTGCGAAGAAAAGCTGAGAAAGCTCAATGCTGAGAAAAAGCTAAGGAAGATAGCAGGGCAGCCCCACTTACCATTGATATGCCACCTGAAATATTCATATTGACACTGCTTGCCACGTTTCCAGGTATGTTTCCAGCCACGTTGGTGGTGATGTTGGACGGCAGACTCGAGGAGGGGAGGTTACCGGTGATGTTTACTCCCAGGTTTCCCGAGGCATTCATTGCCGCCGCCGCGCCCGAATCCCGGCTGAATCCCCCAACCATGTTGCTGTGCACGTTGCCGGCCATGTTGGGCAGGTTGGTGGCGGCAGCGGCGGTGCCGGCCAGGTTGGCCGGCAGGCTGTTGGCCAGGTTGGGGGGCACGCTGATGTTAGACATATTCAGGCTGTCCAGCAGACTGCCTGAGAGAGTTGTGGTGGCGCTGGTGGGGGTAAAGGTGGACATGGGGTTCAGTTGCAGGGAAGGAGTTGAGGTGGTAGAGCCCACGGAGGAGAATATTGTGGGGCTGGCCGAGGAGAAGACCTGGAAGGGATTGGTGAGGTTGGACTGGCTGCCAGGAGGAGTGCTTGAGGGCCTTCCAATCTAAAATCAAGAACAGAAATGGACATGAGTAAGCATGCATTCCTAAATTAAGTATTACCTGTTTAGCAACACACAATCACTGGGGATGCCTTTCTGTAATGAATACATATTCAGAAAACACAGTTTCAACTGTTTGGCTCCGACAAAGACATTGTCTGTATCAAGATGTACTTAAAATATGTCGACAAGAAAACAAGGTGCCTGATTTATTTACCTTCTGCAAAGGGTTTTGTAGGTTGGCTGATGTCATGTTACCCAGCATGGCTGCCTGTGAAGACTGGGGGACAACATTTTGGGAGCCTATCATGGCCGAAGTGTTTGTAACAGTGTTCCGAACGCCCCCTAAATTACTTGCACTATTGTTAGAAAAGGGTCCGTTCATTTGCGGCTGACCCGCACTTGAGGTGAGGTTGCCTGGAGAGTTTGCACTTGTGTTCAGCTGGGGTGTCGACGAGAAAGGGGCAGTGGAGAAGGTGACCATTGTGCTGCCGCCCAAGGAGGCACTGGTCACATTTGTCACTGTCCTACCGGTCTGGGCATGGGCCTGGAAGGATCCCATTGCCATGCCAGTCGAGCTGGTGGCCACCAAGTTGTTGGCCAGTGAGGTGCCCACCCCACCCATTGCTGGGCTCCCGCCGGCCTGGTTGGGCTTGGGACTGTTGTTGGAGCTGGCCGTGCTGGTGGCCGTGGGGGAGCCCCCGACGTTCTTGGTGGGGCACTGCAGCAGTCGTGACAGCTGCTTGTTCTTCTGGAGCACATCCTGGTGGGAGTCTGCATTGACTGAGGCAGGGGCGGTTCCGTTACTGGGGGTTGCAGACCCCATGGAGACCCCAACCGAGAGGGAGCTGGCATTGTTTGAGCTGGGTCCATTGAGGTCATCAGGCAGATCCAGTAACCTCATCAACTCTGTGGAGTGGCATAGACAACAATGATTTAGCATTAATAACTTTGGTAAGTTTTCAGTTTGATACAATACAAGTGAAAATATGTGTAATACAATAGGGGCTCACCCATATTACTCCCCACACCACATTTTGGTGAATACTGACCTTTGCGACCCTCATGAGACCCTAATTAACCTAGTGTGCTTAACTCCAACACTTAAGTGTGTCTTTCTTCTGACGTTCCAAACACACGTTTTGTTGCCACGATGTAGCAAATGCTTTTCCAATGGATACTACAAAAAAACAACTGAATTCCGTCAACACCAATCCAAGTGAAATGCATCTACATGTATGGGTTTACTGATTTAACAGAGTTTAGTCAGCAAACAATTACTGCTTTTTTGGAGAGTTTGATGTTCCACGTCTGCTTCTTCAAGCAATGTGCCACTGTTTCACAGCATGCTGCTTGACTTTGCGAGACCTAAGAAACTCTCAAAGTTATCCAGGGAATCAGGCGTACTGAATTCCTAAAGACGGGGCAATAACCAGTAATCATATAATGAGAGCTGTTTAAGACATGAGTTATAATTGCTTAGACATCATCAATGTGCAGACCCCCCTCTTTAACATGCAAAATTAATAGTGTGTGCCTGGAAGTAATGTGCATGTGCTCATACATGCTCTAAACATGTAACATACATGCATCTTCTTGGTCTGGCACACGTTACATATTCATGTGTTTGACTCTCTAAATGGTGTACTGGAGAACATGTGTGNTTAAAAAAAAAAATGAATTCCGTCAACACCAATCCAAGTGAAATGCATCTACATGTATGGGTTTACTGATTTAACAGAGTTTAGTCAGCAAACAATTACTGCTTTTTTGGAGAGTTTGATGTTCCACGTCTGCTTCTTCAAGCAATGTGCCACTGTTTCACAGCATGCTGCTTGACTTTGCGAGACCTAAGAAACTCTCAAAGTTACCCAGGGAATCAGGCGTACTGAATTCCCAAAGACGGGGCAATAACCAGTAATCACATAATGAGAGCTGTTTTTAAGACATGAGTTATAATTGCTTAGACATCATCAATGTGCAGACCCCCCCATAACATGCAAAATTAATTGCGTGTGCCTGGAAGTAATGTGCGTGTGCTCATACATGCTCAAAACATGTAACATACATGTACATGTATCTTCTTGGTCTGGCATATGTTACATATTCACGTGTTTGACTCTCTAAATGGTGTACTGGAGAACTTCTGTGTGTCAGTTCCACTAGTTTATACAAATGCCCTCCAAAACTCCCCAAAATCACGAGGCAATGCCAACCATCCAGTGATACCATATCCCAAAATTTCACATCTGTACTGAACTGCTAATGACTCACGACAAATGTCAAGTTTTGTTGCAAGGAAAAAACATTTACCATAAGACAAATAAAAAGAGTTCCTGTGCAAGTAAATACCAGATGGTTTAACAGCCTTGATGTACATTACATGTACATGTAACAATTGGGATCAGTGGAGATTTGAATATTACTTGATTTGGGATAAACTGCAAGAATGAATGAAGCAAGTGGACTCACGTGGACAAGGTTACAAAGCATCAATTAACATCACACAAAGACATATTTCATACAATTAATATGTTAGGATGTAGCAAAGAAGTTATGGCAGTGCATGCTATTCACTTGTATGAGGGGTTTTTCAGGGGGTAGGACCCATGGGGTTGTTTTAGGCTTCAGGTCCCCTTTGAGATGGATAGAAACTACTCAGTTAGTACCGTTATGTGTACTTTTTTGGTCAAAAGTAATGCTACCGACTATTTTGTACCTTTGCAACTAACCTTACAGAAAGGCACTCTCCAAATAATAATACAACTGTTCAAGGAACCCAGTTTCTGTGGATCAAACCTACATGTACTATCTACGCTTTAGTTACACACACTGAAATTTCACTCGGACCCCATTCCCTGGCATTATCCCCTTCAAATCTACCTTACAATCTCAACCCGCGTACATTCTTTACAGCTTTTTGTCTTGGATGTCAAGCACATGTGAATTTACATCTTCACGCATCAGATGTAAATCTATTTGCCGCTTGCTTCTGGAGTGAAATCAATTTGGAAAGATGCTGCTTGCCACATGACATGGTAGAGCACTGTAAATTAATTTGCACAATCAGCTAGATGGCGTGGAAACTGAAAACATAGTCAAAATAACCATGGCAGATTATCAACAGGTACCAGACATGTTGTAACCATTCAATGCACATGCAGCAATTGGGTTTAACAACAGTTTCCTCATGGAAAAATTGGAGCAGAATATCTTGAACCACAGGGCTTGCCCTTTATTTTTTCTGACAGTAGCCCACTGGGCTAGTAAATTGTGATTTTTACCAGCCCGCAGAGATTTTTAATTGCCCATGAAATGTGTAAAAAAAAAAAATTAAAGCAGGTTTTTGACTTGAGAAGGTTGTTGACT